CCCCTCCCCCAGGTGTCCCCCAGGTGTCCCCGGGTGTCCCCCGGGTGTCCACGGGTGTCCCCGGGTGTCCCCCGGGTGTTCCCCAGGTGTCCCCAGGTGTCCCCCGGCTGTCCCCAGGTGTCCCAAAGTGTCCCCAGGTGTCCCCCAGGTGCTGACGGTGCCCCCGGTGCCCCCCAGGTGATCATGGTGACCGGGGACCACCCCATCACGGCCAAGGCCATCGCCAAAGGTGTCGGGATCATCTCCGAGGGCAACGAGACCGTGGAGGACATCGCGGCCCGGCTCAACATCCCCGTCAGCCAGGTGAACCCCAGGTGAGCCAGGTGAGCTCCAGGTGAGCCAGGGGAGCTCCAGGTGAGCCAGGTGAGCCAGAGGAACCTCAGGTGAGCCCCAGGTGAACCTCAGGTGAGTCAGGTGAACCCCAGGTGAGCCAGGTGAACCCCAGGTGAGCCAGGGGAACCCCAGGTGAGCCAGGTGAGCTCCAGGTGAGCCAGGGGAGCCCCAGGTGAGCCAGGTGAGCCAGAGGAACCTCAGGTGAGCCCCAGGTGAACCTCAGGTGAGTCAGGTGAACCCCAGGTGAGCCAGAGGAACCCCAGGTGAACCTCAGGTGAACCCCAGGTGAGCCAGGGGAGCCTCAGGTGAGACTGGGGAACCCCAGGTGAGCCAGATGGGGGAAATTGAGGGGATTTGGTGGTCCCAGGGGGGGTTTCCCAGTAATTTTGGGGTGCTGGAGCAGATTTTGGGGTTGTGACCTCGCCGTGACCCCTCGGGGAGGCCAAGGCGTGCGTGGTGCACGGCTCGGACCTGAAGGACATGAGCTCGGAGCAGCTGGGGAGGGGATCTGGGGGGATCCAGGGGGGAACCTAGGGATGATCCCGGGGATTTGGGGGTCCCAGGGGGATCTTCCGAGGAGTTTTGGGGTTGTGACCCCCCCGTGACCCCTCAGGGAGGCCAAGGCGTGCGTGGTGCACGGCTCGGACCTGAAGGACATGAGCTCGGAGCAGCTGGATGAGATCCTGCGCAACCACACCGAGATCGTCTTCGCCCGCACGTCCCCCCAGCAGAAACTGATCATCGTCGAGGGGTGCCAGAGACAGGTGACACCGCCCTGGCCCTGTCACCCGTGTCACCCGTGTCACCCGTGTCACCCGTGTCACCTGTGTCACCTGTGTTGCCTGTCTCCATATCCCCTCATCCCAATATCCCTTCTCCTTTGTCCTGTTTCCTGTCACCTGTCCTTTGTCACCTGTCCCCTGTCATCCCTGTCCCTTGCTGCTCCCAGTCCCATGTCCCACAGTGTCCCCAAACCCACAACCCCTGGTATTGCCATCCTCATGTCCCACGGTGTTCCCAAACCCATGTCCTCTGGGATTGCCACACCCCACAGTGTCGCAGACCATGTCCCTGTCCCTTTGCCCTGTGATGTCCCCCCTGGTGCCCAGTGTCCCCCAGTGTCCCCAATGTCCCCCAATGTCCCCAGTGTCCCCCAT